AGCAAACTAATCGTAAAATCGTAGGTATAATAGAAACAATAAATACAGTTCTTACTTTTTAAGTTTCTTACTTAGAATTATCAAAATTGGAACTTTTAAGTCTGTAAAAATCTCTTTTTGTATTATAAATTATACATTTTGACGAATTCTTAACTCAAAATAATTTGCTAATTTTCGTGATTTTTCCATATTTTGTAATTTTTTTTAACTTAAAATGCTTACAAAAAAAAAAACTGTGAGTAAGGATTTTTAATACTTTTCATCTGCCTTTGTAACAATATACTAGGAGCCTTCTATTAAATTTTCAAGCTTTTTAAACCAACAAATAAAATTTTATTGATATTTTTAGAAAAAAACCAAAAAAAAAAATGGAAAATGAAAATGTCCCTAAACAGTTTAAAATAAATCAAAATATTTTGAAAATGTTATCGTGTATAGAAAATGCAAATATAAACAACTAGTGAAAATTTCATATATCTATGGTCATTTGTTTTAAAGTTACACCAAAATCCTAATTCAATTTTGTGAAAAATCGATTTTGCGTATAAATTCCCGTTTTTCCTTAATTTGTATATTGTTTTTCCCTGCGCATTTGAAAACTATTGGGAATTTTAAATTTTGACCTCCCAAATGCACCAACAATATTCACTTTCAGATACTGAAGTTGAAAATCGAAGCATTATTTCGACTACTTATCGTGTACACAGACACAAAAAAAAATAAAAAAAAAAAAACACACATCATTGTAAAATCAATACATTCTAAAATCTAAAATGGTAGTTTTGAAATGCTTATAAGAATCTTTCCTGTTTATAACAACGTAGGTACCTATACCGTTCTATATGAGTTCCACTTATAACACAAGTAGGGGTACTTTAAGATATCTCGACTATTTCTAAGATATAGTTATATGGTAATCCAATGTTGTCTCGATTCAGTGTATCTTGTTTCAACAATGCTTTGACATACTGAAGGCCTTTCGTATGGAGATGAATCGCATTGTAAATATAGTCACCGCCGCTTTCAACATAGAAAAACCGTTTATTTTAGGTAGGCATGATAAGAGTAAGCATTGATAAAATATACGCTTATGAACTTTGTTTTTCATTGTAATATAATTATTGACTAGGTATTAAGCTCGAAATTCTATAAATTTGAAATTGTTTACATTTATGGGTACTTACACCGTTTACTTAAACGCGTTTCAAAAACATTACAAACTTGAACATCCATACTGATATTTCCGTACGTAGGCAGTAGTTTAGCACCGTTTGAAAGGTTTTCGTATATTATCAACCTACCTTATCTCCTATGCGACAATTATTTTATTATAATATTATATAACTACATAAGTATTATAAATTATAATGCGATAAATCTACAGACTATTCTTTTCATCACAGTTGCTACCACACTATGTTCCCTACAAGGCCTACATGCACCTGTAGATTGTTTTTGATGAAATAAAAAAAAAAAAATATTATTTAAAAACTTTAATTTTTAACGTGTACAATTAATGAGTTGTTGAGTTGCAGGTAAAAATATTATAAAAGTGTGCAAACGAGCTGAGTTGAAGGTAAAAAAACGAGTTTCACGGAATATTTATCAACTATTTGTGTATTGATTTAAGATGGTAAACGTCCATTTTGAATTATGACTGTATTTTAGGACAACAAAGGTCAGGGGTCTGTAATAATAAAAATAAAATAACAATAACAATAATAATAATAATAACATTCTATAATATAGTATTATATACCTATACTATACAATCCTAATATTATAAAACCTGTACCATGTTATTAATATGTACCACATACCATTATTAATTATTAGTTAATAGTTAATAATTATTATATACAAGTGTCCTGGGTATAACTGTATAAGTATAATATATTATAATATATACGTATACATGTGTGCTGCACAGGAGGTGAATTTGTAGTTTGACTCTCAAGTCTCAAGTCTCACTAGTCTCAGGGTTCATACAAGAGCATTTCGAATGTAACTTTTTTTGCGTAAAAATGAATTTACGGGAAGAAAAAATTGAGACAATTTATATGGGATGTAATACCTACATTACACCTACGGGTATACTGCTCCGAGGCAATTGCAGTATAATGTAGTTGCTTTAGAATTTATATGTGTACAATATAGTCTTTACCATCATATAGTAGGTATTTCCTGGTTTATCCGTATATTTTTAATATAACATGTGGTGGGATTGGGGGATTTACACACTGTCCATTGCAGTCATTAATCTTCATACTAATAATAACATAAAATATGAAAATAGAACCATATGACAACATAAAATATGAAATGGAACCATATGACAACATATTTTGTAGAAATTTGAATCATATAGTAGGCATAGGAACATGTTTTTTGTATAAATACAGCTGGGGTGTCTTAACATTGAAAACACACCCTGGCTACTCCCGCGCCACAGCGTCTTACGGAATACCTTATAATAGAATTATAATTTTATTGATAAGTTCTTAAATTGATATTTTTTTATAAAAAATGGATTCCCCTAGGAGACTTCTCATCCCCTAAAATCTCTATTTTGACGTGTCACACTGTCACACGCGATGTTTTATATATTTTCAGACGACTGGCGTCATGCCACGTGATACCGGCATTTGAAAATCTAAAACATCGCGTGTGACAGCATGTGACACATCAAAATAAGGTTTCGGGGGACCAAAATTCTAGCGGTATTCTCATTATTGAGATATGTTTAAAATTAAACGAGGAAATTCGTGAAACGCAAAATAGGTTTTCCATTCCATTCAATAACGTGCACAAGGGCATTGTCAAAGTTAGTACGGAAAACTCTCAAATACATAGTGAAACACCACATAGTACCTATTATATACCCATACAATATTAGTGTGCCCATATAAGTATTAAATATGTATTGAGTATATATTACAATGCTATGTCATTGCAGTATTGCCTACCTATATAATATTATGAGCATTATATAATATTAGCTATTGCGTTTGTTCCGATGTGTATATAGGTATGCACATATTAATCATATTATTATGATATTATGTATCCACAATAAATTCGTTTGTCCCCACACAATAACAACGATACTTCCGTACACTTAACAACAAAGTTTCTCGGGTAACGGACGGCGGCGGCAGGGTTCGAAAAAAAAATCGTCAAACCGAGAATTTTCCACCCCCTTTCACCCGCCGTTCGTCCTGGCCATGCCTTTGTATTATAATCGCATTTACGCGGTTCGTGTGCGCAAACCACACTATATGTACTCGCTGCGGTATAATAATAAATTCACGTCACGAATACATGTATATATTGTATACATATTATATTACAGTATTTCCCATATATATACTCGTGCTTACTGCAGAGTATACATATATATTGTATATACCTATACGGCATACGCAGAAAACAGTCGACCTAAACACATTTTTTGAATTCTCCGAGAAAACAAAAGACGGTGTCGTCTCTCTCTCCCTCGTCTGCTCCCTCAATCACACTCGCTACCACCGTTGCGGCCTTTCTGCGCGGGGGATGATTATCCTCATATTTTGTCCAAGGTCTGTGTGGTAAAGATCTTTTTACACTTGACGACAACCCACGTCTCTGACCACCACGGAGATCGTTTGTTTGACCCGTGCACATACACACACACACACACACACACAATACTAGACCAAATATATACATATAATATAGTCTGAAAGAAGCTGTTGTCTGCAAGTGCGCAGTAGAAACCAGTTTAACAGTAGTTAAATGGAATAATAGTCACTTAAACAAGTTCAAAATCCTAGACAGCCAGCAAATCTAGTGGACCTCGGTGGTATATACCTCCCTCTATCCCTCTCACAGGCAAATCCACCAATGGCTATATACTGCAGGTAATCATGTAATATTCACCGATATGCCGTAGTTATAGATCCGTTTTTTATACTGTAGCATGGGCAGGTACCAGCTACTGTACATTTATAAGCAAGGGCTCCGCGAGGGGGGATGCAAGGTGGTGCAATTTCACCTCCCTGGCTTTTCAAAAAAAAAAAAAAAATTGAATGATATTGAAAATATTTTATTTTGGATAATTATCTATTAAAAATTATAATAATTATTCAACATAATTATTGTTCATCTATTATAAATTATAATATTATCTAATACTTATTTTTTAAATAATAACTTTAAACGCCTATGTTTTTTCCAAATTCTTCAATTGAATTTTCAATGAATTTGGTATCCTCTTCTAGTCTCTTTTTATGTACAGTGTACACTCATCATACTCAATCCGGAAAATAGGTCATCACCCATACTGGCTCTGTTCCAGGTCTTGACACGTATCAAAGTACTAAATGAACGTTCAATGCTGCAGGTTGTTGTTGGAAGAGTTAGTTCGACCGCGATTGCGTCGGCCACAGCTGGATAATATTCTTTTGAAATTTCGATCAAATTTAAGTAGGTATTCAATAGAGTCGAATGGATTTGTATAATTTTTCCACATTTCATACCATGTGTGGCTTCAGCTGTAAAATTTTATGGAAAAATGTTTCTTCACTCACGTTTTTCATAGGGATCAAGATACATTAGAGAAAATGATTGATTGTGAGTTATAGAAAGAGGATAAGATATAAAGATTTTAAATTCATTTCAATAATGATAAGATATAACGATTTTAATTTTAGATTTCATTTATAAATAGGTGTATAATATAGGTATGTGTATTAATCCAATTGTACAGTGATGAGTGAAATAGTGAATTATTAGTTATAAATTATTATGTTCATACATAATGCACTTATAAAATATGTATAAATATAAATAACATATTTCGTAGTACCTAGGAAAGTATAATAGCAACAAAATAATATTAACAAATATAATAGGTAAGGTACTTGTAATATAATATTAGCAGACGGACATTTCTAGATCGAGGCACATAACTAGGTTTGCACGTTGATACTGTGATGATTATATAATATGTGATATGTGCGTCAGCGGAACAGTACGTTACGCGAGAACGTTTGGAAGTGATGAGGCACAAGAACGGGAGGGCCCGCGTGGTCGTCAGGCGGCGATCTGAGCGTGGAGTACATCTTGACGGTGGTCCGGTGCCGCGGCAGGACAGCCGTCAGAAGCGCGCAATCGACGGTTACCCGGGCCCGAAGGTCAGTGAACCCGTGAAGATGACACGCACCCGTATCGCTGTCGTAGTGCACCGTGCCCGCGGTGTACGTGTAGCCGTTGACCCGCGGTTCCGTCGCCCATGGTTCCGACGTCAATTCTTCCACCGTACGCGACACGTACGCCGTTTCGGACGCGTAGTACTCGCCGTCCGCCTCGTACGCTGACGGCACGGTCATCAGGCGAACTTGCATCCGTCTGGACTCGGCCACCGCCGCCGTGACCGCTCCGCCACCGTTTGCCGACCACCGCCGAAGTAGACACCTCAACCGCAGCCCCCGCATCGTATCGGCAGCCGGCGCAACCCGTTCGGCCAGACACAGCCGGACGTTGGAGGCCACCGCGTCATGGTCCACCGACACCGCCGCCGCCGTTGGCCGCACGTCTTCGGACAACGATCGCAACACATTTTCGCACACCGGCCAATCGCAGTCGACGTCATCTCCGTTGTCCACACTATCCGCTGCAGGTCGCTGCATCGTGCTTCGCGCCGCCAACGCGGTTCTGCAAAAACAAACAACTATTTTAATCGTTTATTTTTTTCTACGGTCGTGTTTGAATGAAATCAAAAAAAATTATCACGATGCATACAATAGTAAGGTGTTTTATGCATGATTAAAAAACATGGTAATAAAACATGGCAACTTTATGATACCATCATACAAAGCTATATATCTAGTTCACCGCTTTTCGTTGGTTGTCATGATAGTTATATTTCTATAGTGCATTGCGAGGCAAACTTGATACGATAACTGCGCTAACTCCGATGGGCGATGGTATTCAGTTCGTTGCCATCATATACCTTGTTATTTTATCATGGTTTAATGTATCGTAACGAAATTTCAGATCTATTAAAATAATTTATACTATATTATAGGTAAGAGGTACCTGTATACATTGATCAATAATATATTATACTCTACGGTGTAGCCAAACCAAACTCAAAGTGTATAATAGCGAAAGTCACTTCCTCTTAGTCAATGCTTAAATACCTTATATTCACTATATATTTATTATTAAAGTGTTACGCTTGTATCGTGATGGTGGGCGCAAATTAATAAACATAAATTTCGGCCTGGCACACCAAAGGCCCATGGATCAGTTTTTTTAAGGAGCCCCATAATGAAATACAAAGGCCCCAAAAAATGTAGGTACTTAACAATGTACATATTTTTGAAAATTATCACAATGTTTGCCAGTGGCGTGTAACATAGGGTCCAAGTGTTGCTCAGGCAACACCTTAAATATGGGTGGGTGGGTATTGATAGACGAAAAATAGAAAATTGTATAGGTCGGTATAACAGTATTATAAGGGGTAGGTCACCTAAAATTATTTGAGCAACACCAATTTTTCTTATGATACACGCCACTGATGTTTGCCTTGAAAAATATATGTATTCAAATTCTGATTTTTAGAATTTTTAAGTATACCTAAAACCATATTTTCAAATTCCTGATATTTTTTCTACTAATTAACGACTGTTCTGTTGCGATACATACTTCTATTTTTTAAATGATAACTACCCTTTTTACTGAAAATTATTTAGCAAGTGATTTTATTGAAAATGTTCATGTATCTTAATAAAAATTATAATAAGTAGTTGCTGAATTATTAAAATGTTTATATTAAGGATAATAATCCTTGAACATGGTTATATACTTATAATTTATATACATCAATATTATACACAATACACTTTATGTAATATAAGATGTAGTATTCATTATACTTAGATCATTTTTAAAAATTATTTATATTAATAGATCAATAGTAATCACTAAAATTTGCAAATAATCTAAGACCCCAAATCTACTTAACCCATTTCCGCATAGACATGTTATCCTTACTACACAAAGTTATATAACTCAAAAACTACTAGGTAGTTCGAATTTTGGTTTAGATTCATCAAAATACAAAAAAAAAAAAATACAAAAGGGGGGATTCCAATTTGAAAAACAGAAGTTTGTATTAGTACAGAGAATCTCAAATATTCAAAAATCTTCAAATGTATTTAAAAATTCCAAAAATCAGAATTTGAATATAATATATTACATTATATTATGTGTAATTTAAACATTAAAATAGTATGAGCATGCTTAAAAAAATTACCCTGTAAACGGGTAAACTGACGCGGGGAATCATTTGTTCCATAATAAACTATGAAACTATTGATAAATTTGAAACTACAAAATAATTATTATTCATTACATAGAATACAGAAACGAAATTACGAAAAACGAAATTATATTTCTGATATAGAATTTTAGCTTTGAAGACAAATTCATAAGTAATAAGCATAATATTATATTTAAGTAAGATTTCAAAAGTATGCGATACTTGGATGATCGCTGAATCAACTGGGCCGCGGGCAAGTGGAGCTGTCGTATAGCCTCGTTCGAGCCCGCATTGTTTTTAAGACGAGAGATAAGTTCGGTTTCAGCTACAGTAGCTCAATTAACCCAAAAAAACCTATTCCTAATTGTTAATATTGACACTTGTACTATTATGCCCTTCTCACACACTATATATAATATAGGTAAGCATCTGGGACCTGTAAACCAAAATTACGTAAGGTTAAATATTTCGATAAAAACTTTACGGAGTCCCTACTCCCTATACATAACACAGATACGCCAAGCAAATAAAAAATTTACGAGACCCTAAAAAAGGAGGATCCCCAGGCGCTTTCACGGCCCAGCGGCCATGGCCATTCTGACACTGTAAATGATAAATATTTCGACCGAAAATATATAGTGGGGCGGAATTTATAATTTCGTTGGGTTCAATAGTTATATATTGACATACATTTTCACTTTCTGCAGTAGGTATACATCATCGCATAAGACTACAGAAAAACGTAAGTATAAACAATTCTATGACCATCATATAGGATAGTATTATATTATATTATAACCCAAGGCGGAGTGAATATAATGATATTTTGCAGGTTTAGAAAAACGTAACATAATTAAATATATCTCAAAATGTGTTCAATAGCAGTTTGGCTACATATTGTATGTTATATGTGTGTATAATATAACACAATGTCATTCTCACTATATCTTTATACTCGTGTATATAAACCAATATACCTATGTATATTAGGTTGGTATATATAATGGCTTTGCGTTTTTTGTCTTATCCCTGAAAAAACACCCTAAATCCAGTACCGAGGATTACACGTAGGTACACACTATACATAGAATGTAAAGCCATGTACCTTCCAATACTTGTTATCTATGGTTTTAAACGAACGCTATATATTATATTATGTACATATATATATATATATAAGTCGTATAGGTACAGTGTGAGAAGTGAGAACGGTAAGCTTTGCGGTCTTTTGTCGAGTTGATTTTTAATAATTTGCTAGTATACCTACGAAAACAATATAACGGTGATGTATATAGGATAATAATTTATTAATATTTTCAACTCATCGCACCTATATTTAATTAAAAATATTTTCTCTTTTATCAGCGCTATAATACGACCCATAAGTGGATATATTATAGTTATTTGATTTCTTTAATTCCTGGATAATTATCTTATTTTTTCTCCAAATTTTATACCATTGCGGGATTAATTTCGTCGGTCGGGGCATGCCGAATATAATAAGGAGTTTGCGTTCTATTGTAAACCGTAATATATAAGTGTACAATAATAATGGACGGTATTATTCTCGGGGTGTAAAAATGTACACGATACCTTGCGAGACCGCGCCCAACGAACAAGTATGGCCTCGCAATTTTTGCTCGGTATTCGCGGTCTATATGGTTATATTATAATATACCAAATTCTTAGGACGTATACCGTGTACAACGCACTCGGCGAATCGATATAATTCCTTCAACCATCGAGTATATATTATATACAGCACACCAGGGCAGATCGCTTTATTAATCGATTACCTAGGTTACCTACGTATATAACCAATATACCCGCAGTATGGTTATTTCAACGACGATAGTTTGTAGGCGTTACGATAATATTATTACATAGGTAATGATTAAAATATCTTTCTTATAGAAATGAGTGTTAAAACGCGTAGACTATAATACATATATAATATACATTATGTATTAAAATTAACATAGGTATATATATATTATATAACACGATAAATTCATTATGCCGATATCGCAGTTAAGCTCGCCGAGTCATTAATATCGAATCACCATAAACCACGCATAATAGGTAAAACTAGACGTCTGGGTTATCTCATTAATAAACTCAATGAAACGAGTCGGTAATTTATAATGAAAGTTTACGGACCGGGAAATATTCACGAAACAACAACTACTACCTATTTTGCCGAATGCGTTTGTGTACCGAATAATATACTTATAACAATCTCTTGTTCAGGTATAGGACGACAAGTACTGTGTATAATAATATCATATAGTTTCTAATAATTATTCGTGTAAGCGTTTTTTGACGAAATTGACGTCAATCGGCGCACAAACACGTTCGAGTGGAGCAAGTTACGATATAGGTACAAAATATTATACATATTAGGTGCAGTCTACATAATATTATTCACAATGAATGAATCGAGACCATATAGTCTAATTCATAATTCGATCTTTATATTAGGACCAACCTGTATAAAATAGATGGTTATAAACGCTTATATTACCTTACCAGCTGACTATCAAACCTACTTGTGACGATTTTTAAGACTTTTGATAATAATAATGTTGTATCGATGATGGCTTCAATAACGATTTCCAATTATACTCGCGTTTAACGATATGCACTCGAGAAATCCACTCGTCGCGGTCGTATAATATTATAATATATTATGACATGAATTTTTCAATCGATGTGTTGGTTAGCTTCGTGGCTGTAATGCTATATTATTTTGTATTTTATTTTTTATTAATATCATAATATGGTTGAAGGTAGTACACATAGAACGTCAAGTGGAGTATATTGTACATACCTATATTATAAACACAACGTGAATTATTGCAAAGAGTTAATGCAAAACGTACGCAATTATTATATGACAAGTGTTATCGTAACGTTTCGATCGAGTTAGTTATAAATTATAATAGTATAGCAAAGGCGACCGCGAAACGTATTAAAAAAATAAATAATAATGATCTCATACATAGTGTAATGCGGTATAAATAATATTACATATTAATTACTTCTATAGTTATAAATATAGATGCGTGTGTCGCGAGGTGCAAGGGTTTATAGGTTTTATATTATTTGTATATGTGTGTAACTATATTATGTATGCTTGTGAAATTTTAATGATCGATATAGGTAGGTACATATTTTTACTATACATATGGATGACAATATAATTTTATGAATATCGACTGGGGGTATTTTGAAAGTGTATACTTGTGGTAGGTATATATAATAATAATACTCTCGGTATATATGATATGTTTATGTATATATATATATATATACGATCATTATAATATGTTTCCCGAACGCAAACAATATAAATATCTACCA